TCTTATTTTAGTCATATATTAGACAATATTATTTTCTTTTTACTAAAAATGCTTCTGGAAATGTGAAACTTCACTTCTTAATTAGCTTTAGCTACCTCTATCCTAGCATCCGACTGGCAATTCTTTGTAGATCACCTAGTCTGATACAGACAGGAACTGAACCACATCATAATTGCTCTGCATTTCTTAGAAATGAGATCCTGGTTATCCTTTCAAGTGCATTCAGAGGAAGAGCTAATATACCAGCTGGGATTGCTGGAAGATGACAAAAAAGCTCTGTGCACTGTCAGAAGCAATTACTAAATAGTTGCCCTACTTCTCCCTAGAGAAAGACTGCCTAAGCACTCCACACTAGCAGAACACCCTGTCTAGCGTTACGTACAGCTCTATTCACGTTGACAATATCTGTGAATGATTGACTTCTGGTGGGAGAAACCTTTCAGTGTTTCCAATCAACCGCAAATATGTCAAATTTTATGTACAACAGAAGTATTTATATTTCAAAATTAAAAAGAATCTTACAGCTTAGGACAAAAAAATTGTGTGAAGTGACTATTTTAATATTGCATTTCAACATGTGAAAGTGAAACATCTTACTTTTCCAAATTTTCTCCCCAGTTTTAGTTCATTCTTTTCCACAAACTCACTACAAATTAAAATTAGTAATTCAGATTCAAGTTGTTGGTTCCCAGCTAAACTTAGCTCTTCCTCAATAGCAAGTGTTTCAAAGCGAAGTGAAAGACAATGCAATCACCAGTGCTTTCTAAATATTGCCATTCTACCCGTTTTCTTCCCTGCCTGTCTGCAGCACCATGACACATAAGGTTAAGGACAGCCACTATGCTCCCTCAGGACAGCAGCACACTGAAGCACTTGCCCTGGAGTTTGTCTGCTCCAACGGAGAGTTCCTTCACAAAGCTTTTCTGGTGGAAAAAAATCATGGCTAATCCTCCTGAACTGACCACAGTATAGAACTTAATCAAGGATATGATTTGATCAGAAAATGTGAGTATGCCTACCTGTTACACCAGCACTCTTGATTATTCAAAGATAGTATATCCCAGACAAGCTTAAGTAAAGGCTGCACATTATTACCATGACCCACAGGAAAACAGAATTGCCTACTCCTCTGCTCATTACAGTCAGCTAACACCATTGTGCTGTGAAGTATCAGTGTGCAAGTACAAGCAAGAAACAGGTTAACTCTTCCAGGAAATTTATTGAAGAGCTGATTCACTTATAGTTAGAAAGCAAACTAGGGCATTACAGCTTTTACTGCTGTTCCATTTCTCAAGGGGCAGAAATAAGGAAACCAATAGATACAAACTAGAAGATAACCAAGAAAAATAAGTGTCAGAGTTTTACATTAGTTCATAAGAGTGTCTAAAGCAGATAGCAAAAAATGAAACAAAGACTACACAATACTCTGTCAAGGGTCATATTTATATCAGAAATGTTTTCAAGAGTTCATTTTTTAAACCCACATTCAAGTTGGATTAGTCTGGAATATAATTAAGAAAAAACCACTCGGTTTCATATAATTTCACAACTTGTTAAAGAAGGTTAATTTTGTTGAATATGTTGTATACATAGAAATTGATGACGTTTTAGCTATTTGATATTTGCTGATTTTTGTGACATGTGATTTCTTCTCTAATCTT